GGGGGGGGGGGGGGGGGTACTCATTTGTTGCTTGCCGTAGTCATTTGACCATTGACCACGCGTCCCTTTCGAGACGGAGAAAAAGAGCGTTCGGGGGGGGGGGGCGGGGTCACATGTTATCCATGCCGTAGCGGGTAGACCACGCGCGGTCGAGAGGACGGACGGGGTGTGGGGGTGTACGCATGCCGTAACCAATCGTGGAAGACTATTAATATTGCATCCCTACCATGCCGGGACGGAGCGCTATGCGGGGTTTTCGCCGGTCCAGGCTACGCTTCACAAGGATGCCTGGTCATCACCCCTGTGTGTGCTACAATATGCCAAATCAGATTTGCTATGGGTCGACTTGGCATCCCGGGAGGCGTTACGGGATCGGCCGGAGCTACGTACGGCCAACACGATAACGACAGCGATGATCACTTTTGTTACCACGGCAGTCACCATGACGCGAGTGCTAGCTTCGATGTTTTGGGCGCCTTTTCCAAGGTGAAATGCACGGCGGGAGAACACTTTTTCAAGACACTGGCGCCTGCAAGTATCGCCACAAGGCTGAGGTACACTATTCCTGGGCCTTCAAAGCCACCCACACGCCGAAACCAGAGTTTTTCCGAAGACAGGCAGCGAGGAACATAATCGAGTGCTGCGTTCTCGCCCGGGAAGAGAGGGAGAGGGATGAGCAAGTATCAATTTCTTCAGCCCGCTGAGGACGTATCCGGTGCAATGCATACCACCGGTAACATGGACATGCACGTGATCGGCCGGTAGCACCTTGAGCAATTCGACAGTAAAAGCCAGCCCAAGAGCACTTCAGCCGGGCGGGGAGCATCCTCCTCATGGTGACATGTGTCTCTCCCACCAAACATAACAAACACAAAAATCTGTAAACGCGAAGACAATGAGACCGCATGTTCACGATATAGACAACGTCAGCGTGTCCGAAACGTGGGCATACTCACACGCACCTCCATCATCGCCAACACCGCCTCCATCTCGTCTTGGTTGTCGACCACCATCGTGCACTTGATGGCCAGGTTGTACGTCTCCGGGTGAATGACGACGCCGTTGAGCCCGTGAACGCACACCAGCTGCCTCCAGTACTCGAGGCATTCCTCGGCCTTGCCGGCCTTCATGAGTATCAACATCATCTGCGACCAGCAGCGGCAGCAGCAGCAGCAGCAGCAGCAGCAACACCAGCAGCCACGATTCCGTAGTGTCAAGAACGTGTGGAGAGAGGAGCAGACGATCAGATATGTTGCTCAGAAAAAAATGGGCTCCGGACGGCGGGAAGATGCCAAGGAAACGGCCACCACAATTGGAAACCCGACTTCCTGCGCGGGGATCGTGTTTATTTCTTCCGGGAAACAGCAGTGACTACATGCGGAAGAGTTTTCGGGGGGGGGGGGGGGCGGCGGGCGGTGCGATATTTTGAGAAATCGAGCGCCAAGTTGTGAAACTAGCGTCCAGCTTCGCCCGAGATTTTATGTACTCGCAAGCTCCATGGGCATCAAAATCCGGCTGTCGATGCTCTCAAAATCCCCGTAGCGACACACATATCCGGACTCCGTAAAATCGTGGCGTTTGTCACCCCGGTGGTAGGAGCTCGTCTGTGTCCCCGCAGGGCTGCAACACATGCACGCGGGAGACAAAGCATCGATGGCTGACTGACCTTGACGTACACGTACTCCGCAGGAGGCAAGCCGGCTTCCGCGCGGTGATGGAAGAGCTGCTTGGCTGTCTCTACCTGTCCCAAGTGTTCCGCCGCCCTGTAGGCCCAGACGAAGGCTGCCTCTGTGGGAAGTTTAGACTCTTCCCGCATGCGGCGTATTGTCTACCGGTTGGGGGGCCACAGAGAAGCAGGGTGTGGGAGAGCGAATGCGCTGGTATGAAAGGGCACCACGCTTGATCGGCATGAAGCGTTTCTAGGAAGCAAGCGGATGTCTCGCGAAGAATGGCCCATTTTGGGCACAAAAATGTATAGCCTCTAGTGAGATTTCCTAATTCGCTGGACACGCGGGTATGATACATACTTGTATGTGACAATGGACAACCATGAGACACATTTATACAGTTCTTTCTCGACAAGACAAGGCCTTTCAGACCGCTCCTGACCCATCTTCGTGCTCAACGGATGATATTACGGCCGACCATTTGTGCGAGACATCGAACTCGAAAAGAGGCGTAGCGGTTGAGGCACCTATGCCATGCAACGCCTCACTTGACGACGTAAACAAACGCTAAATTATCCCTAGCACTACCGTTGCGCGGTCAAACGAGCACTTGTGTCCGCATCTTCCCCGTTACTTCCAGCTGTCATTTTTGTGTTTCAGACGCAAAACCACGCGCCGTAGGAAAGCATGCATGCGTCGTCAACACCACCCCATGGGCGAAGAAGAACGAGAAGAAACGTTCGAAGAAGAACGAGAAGAAACGTTCGAACAACAACTAGAAGAAACGTTCGCCGCGTTTCCTTTGTGCGCCGCCCCGTTCACGTGCAAAAACGCCATATTGCTGCGATGGAAATCCAACGAGCTGTGCTTCGCGGATACCATCAACTTCACTTTATTCATGCTCCCATGTTGCAGCAATTCGGGCCAGTATAGCTGTATTGCGAGACGTGTTTGCCGAACTTGAATGACCCATCGAGCAGTCACGACGCACACGTAGTGTTTTTTTTATTTTTAGCCCTCACGACGCACACCAACACTGCCGGTTCAAGTTTAGGGGCAGGGTTAGGGCTACTACTCACGTAGAGGACCCCGTCGTAGTCGCGGCGAAAACCCATCACCGCGATCATGCCCAGGCATGCCGTTCGTGAACCCTGCCACCCTTTCGCGTACATCTCTTCCACAGCCCTGTCGATAAATGGCGGCATGGTAAAATGCAAAAGACCTTCAGAAGAACAATCGTAGTGGAAAGAGACCAATCTCTTCCACAGCCCTGTCAATAAATGGTGGCATGGTAAAAGTACAAAGACCTTCAGAAGAACAATCGTAGTCGAAGGAGACTCAGAAAGAATCGCAGCCGGCAGAAGCTACTTTTAGTGGTGGCAAGGCCGATGGAGCAAATATGAGCCGGACAGGCAGAGTAGCCCAGTGTCGGGTACCGATGCTGTAAACAGGGGGGCAGACAACGCAGCAGCAATGCTACTTGGTGGGTGTTTGAGAGCCTTCTCCCTGTGCTTCGAATCCGAAAGGGGGCACCGTCGTCCCACCATCTCCACCCCCCCCCCCCCGTGCGGGGAGAGCGCGTTGACCAGAAAGCATGTTCGCATTCTCACTGGCCAGCCGGTTAGCGTGGTCGATGCCAATTTCAGGAACACAACCGTACACACACACTTTTTTGGCCTACAGGAGCACTTTGTGTGTTCAACTGCACTAAGATTAACGTCATTTCATTGGTCAGCAGCCGGCTAGCGTGGTCGATGCCAATTTTAGAACCACACACGTACACAAACTTTCATATGGCCTACAGAAGCATTTTGTGCTTTCAACGGCAGTGAGATTTCCGTCTTTGCATTGGTCAGCCGGTTAGCGCAGCCGATGCGAATAGCAAAGGCACACACTTTTTACGGGGCTCCACATCAGATCATGGAACCTTTTCCCGCTGTTACAGTAGTAGCCGCACGGAGACCATGTCGTCTTTTCAAGGGTCACCCAGTCAACGCCGAAAACAAGGACACAAACGCACACACCTGTACATGGTGTCGTGGCAGCCGCGCGAGTGAGCAACGATCATGTGCGAGGCCGTCCGCTGATTCGGCTCCACGCCCCTGGAGAGCATCTCTTCGTGCACCGCAACCGCCGCTTCCGAGTTGTGGAGAAGCGCGTGGCTGCGCAGGTACGGCCAGCGATCAAGTCCGAGACATGGTCACGACAGAAACAACCCCATAACAGCGACTGGTGAGTATCAAATCTACGACATCTACGGAAACATTCCGAAAAAAAATGAAAGGCGGGCATTAAAACAACACATGGTGGGTATCAAATCTAGCGCCAGGTCTGCCATGATCGAGAAAAGCCAACGGCGGCTCATTCGGTGTGCATGTCTCTTTGCCGACTACTCACACCTGCCACAAAACTCTGTTGGCACACCAGCGGGCGCGACATCGCCGGAGGAAGGTAGATCATCCCGGAGCATTCGTGTTATGTTTTCTCCACCTTCCTCCTGCAGTACTTGCCTTTATTGCCGTCGCGGATGCAGTTTCCATTTTCGACCCCCAGAGTCGAATGAGGGTGTACACACGAGTCGGTCGACTCCCACTATTGGGCATGGGGAAAAAGACAGTTCGGGTGCCTGCGCCTAGGTTCGAACTCACATCCGAAAGTCAGAAAGCTGCGACGTCACCAACCACCGGGGGTGACCTCTTGAAACATGATCACAACACTTTGCAAATACAACACTTAGCAAACTATGGCACATGGCACGTGATGTAGAAGAAACATCGGGCGCGGGTTGCAGGCGTTAGGAATATAGGAGGCTACGAGAGGACGGGTGTCGCGTACACCTTACAAGAAGGAAAAAGGATAAGGATTATTGAGTTGAGGTACACCTTACAAATCGGAGATAGGATTACGTTTGCAACCAAGCCAAACTACGAGCTTTACATCAAGAGCTGTTGTGGCTAGTCCTCTGCCACCACCATATCGCGCGTCGAGAATGGCCCCGCAAACTCGAGACGTTGCCCTACCGTGGCTCACAAGTCTACCGCTACCGCTGGTCGTCCAACAACCTTCAGCTGTCTGCGACTCACAAATCAAGAATGTGGTTGTACGTGGTCACGTCCGGCTGAAGCCCATCTTCCTCCATCCGCTCAAGGACCCTCTCCAAGTTCTGGGCAGCATCCTTGGATTCGCCGTAGGTGGACAGCAGTTGCTGCGGGCAAACAAGGGAGGAAAGAGCAGAGACGAAACAATGTTTCCCTTTGAGAGTACAGCAGTAGTCCAGACGTTCTTCACCAAAAACGCGTGTGTGTCCCGGGACGTAGCCGGATGACGGAGACGGTCGATTTCCGGGCAGGGGGGGCGTACCCTACAATGTTCATGTAAACACATGGCGTAGTCGTTAGACCGTGGACCTCGCATCCGTCAATGCCGTGACGGCGCGACATGCCGGTTTTCGCCGGCCCAGGCTATGCTTCACAAGCCATCATCCTTGCATTTGCAGTGCCAAACCAGATATGCCCTGAGTTGATTGGGCGTCGAGGCTTAACCAAACGTTCCACATCCGGCAGGCACAGCGGTGGGTGCGGTATCAACCTCTATCGTCGTGCGAGTGATAACACCTGTTGTAGGTTGTGCGTGCGCGTTCACCCCGTACCAAGCACCCCAAAAATAACCACGGAAAACTCCGACTTGTACTGCTCTGCGGAGGTAAACTACATGGTGACGTACAGCCGGAGATAGAGGCCCTTCAACAAACGTTCTTGTTTTCGGGTGTTTGGTTGCCCCTTCTCAAGCCGTGGCTGGACACAATCTGCTGCGGGCCTTATCGGGACTGGCGCGGGGTGGTGTCTTCCCGCAGTCGGAAGCGGCGGTGCCTCACCCACCCCGTATTCGTGTGGGGTATTGCTGGTTACTCTTCTTGCTACCGGTGCATGTGTTTGGAGATCAAGCTGGCAACAACAAACGGCAACGTCATCTACAACATAGCCGAAACTACATGTGCGTGTCATCTTCACACAAACCTGTTAATAAACATCAAGCTGCTGGCAACAACACACAATAGCGACAACGACGTCAATTACAACATAGCCGAAACTGCATGTGCCATCTCCGCGCGAAAACTAACCTCACCACCCAAAAAATCAAGCAACAAAGAGGACGCAAATACCGTCGGCACTGCATGTTGCCACCATCACACCAACCACCCGAAAACGAAACTTGCCTTCAAGACCGCCTTGTACACGACGAGCTCCTTGATGCCCTGCCGCCTCCCCTCATCCAGTATCTGGATCACCAGGCCCATCTTGATACGCTTGTTGGCCCCGGCTAGCCGCTTGATTCGGCGGACGAGTCCTTCCCGCAGGCGGTTCCGCTCGTAGTCGGTCAACCCGAGGGGCCCCGTCCAATCTTCCCTCTGGTGCACGTAGATATTGGTCCGCATTTTTCCGACGCGGCAGGAGGAAAGGCAGGTGTTCGACGTGTGGGGAACGGGTGAGCTGCACGCATGACTTTCTTCGTTATGGGATGCGCGCCGCCTGGGAGTGCGACGTAATCGACGCGACCAGAAATCTCCGGCGCCCGTGAAGCTAATCCATTCCCTCCATGGCAGCCAAAAAACAAACAAGCTTGGTGGAGAACGACCTTGATTCACAAAAACAAGACAAGCCCTCCACGGCAAGGGAAAACATGCGCTCTCTGTGTACGGTGTACGCAACATGGGAGCGCCGCGAGGTCCGCCTTGAGATTTTAGGCGCGGACCCTTGTAATCGGCGCAATCGGTCTCTTTCTCACAGCAAAGTCGAATCATCGAATGCGTTCATCTGTGAGACAGGGTGAGAGCGAGGAAGCGTCGTCCGTCCTGCGGTGGCGACTGAGCATGACACGACTACACTGCTACACTGCAAGCTGAGTTCGACTGATGTATTTCTTGATTGCTAGCCCTTTGACAAGCAACAGATCTGCCGTCAACATGCTCTCCACCGCGATACACAAACCCGATTCGTAATTGAACATGTTCGTGGTGGGCACCAGACTGCAAGGGCGGGGGTGAGAATTAGCGAGAGTTGAAGAATTCAAAATCTGCTCAAATATCCATCGGATCATCCTGCCGCACTATGCACGCCCTCTGGGTGAAGACTAGCGCCAGCAAGACCAACAATAATGAGGGGACAACACACAAGTGTACACAAGAATTGCACGCGGCGTGCTTACTGTTGTGTGTGGCACACCACGGCCGTGTGAAACACGCGTATTCCCCCCACGGGACTGTCAGCTTTGTACGGCACAGGACGATCAACGCAGTTACAGCTCACCGCCCGCGCGTGCTGTCGCAGCAGGTCCCCCACCGCCTCGACCCGCTCGAACTCTCCCTCGTGCTGCTGATTTCCGGGCTGCATTACTCCTGCACCTTCTGAGTGCGCTTCGTCGGCAGCAGAGGGTGGCTGTGCTGAGGCCAAGCTGCTGCTCTCCCTCAAGGCTCGCAAAGCCACCACTCCTGTTGCTGCCCTTGCGCCAACCCCGTTCGACGTAGAGCTCCCGGCCGAAGCCGAGCGCACGCATTCACGCGCGCAAGCGGCCGCGAGCGAGCGCACCCGGATCATGACTCTGTCCGCTACAACACGTGCTGAGGGCGCCCTGCTGCTGCCGTTCCTGCTGAAGTGCAACGTGTGTTGCTTCTGGTACAGCACGTGACAACCACCTGCATTTTTTTGGTCGTCCTAGGGGTATTGGAGGGTATGTCGTTCTTTGCGGTTTGTAGGCCCCCTTTGTGTTGTCGCTTGTCGCAGTGCACACACGAAACCACTACAAGTACACACGCTCACCGCGTCTTTGCCTGTGGGCCATTTGAGACAGAAAGGGCGAGAGCGAGAGACAGGAAGAGAGAGAGAGAGAGAGAGAGAGAGAGAGAGAGAGCTATGAAATTCTTTGGAGGAGCTTTGGCGGCTGGCTTGGTCGCTCTCGGCAGCGCGAACGCGGACCATCGATGCAAGGACGCTCCTAAAGAGTAAGCGCCGCTTTGTGTGTGTTTTCCAGCGTGCTGTAGCTCGCACCTGTTGTAATGCGCAAACCTTTCATGGTTCCGGAATAATGGTTATCACGTTTACCCCACCAGGCCACGCGCTTGTTTGTGAAACGGGTTGTCCACGTGCTTGCTGTTCGGGATACACTAGGAGAGTCTCCCCGACCGTCTGCTGGTGGTGTAGACTACGCAGATTTCGCAGGTCGTGAGCTGCCCCGGGTTGAAGTTCCTCAAGCGGAACCACCTGAGTAAACATTGAAGCGTTGATCGGTCTACCTAAGTACCCCATGAAAGTAGAGATGGAGCCGTACGTGGATGAGAGAATCTCGTACCTAGAGCAAGCCATGGAGGGCAGAGAGAGACAACAGCAGTATATCCCCTCTGTCAAGTCGTCAAATTTGGCTCTGTTTGATGTACAGCGCGCGACCTGACTATGTAAACGATCAGAGGGCGCGTATGACGGAGTGAGGAACACGGAGTGAGGAAGGGAACGGGAAACACCGCTGAACTGCTGTGTACTCTACGCATATGCATTAAGGAATAATAAATACACACACAGAAAGACTCATGATACATGGCTTACATTTTTTTCAAAGGACTCAGTGTCAGCTCTTTCGCTCGTAGTATGCATAAAATTTGGATACATACAAGTAGCATGTGCATGTGACGATCGTCGCTTCTTTCCCCCGAGGCGCGGTTTGCCCTTTCGCCTTTAAGGCTAACCCACAAGCGGCTGCATCATACTTTGAGGTAAAGTCGAATTGACGTTGGTGAGTTTGGCCTCCAAGCAAGGGGTACACGCGGAAGAAATCAGTACACCTAGCCCCCACCCCCCCGCCCCGGTGTTTGCCATCGGGGTTGGGTTTTCGTCGCTTGACAACGACGTTGTAATACAAGCCGCCCCCCCCGGTGTTCGGGTTGGGTTTTCGTCGCCTGGCAGCGATGTTGTAAAACAAGCCGATCACTTCGTGAGCTCGGCAACCAGGTTACCGTACCGCTTTTTTTTGCGGTACAGCAGTGTAGTGACCATGAATGGTGGTCGGGTAGTTGCGAAATGTCCGTTTTGCAAGATGGAGAAGGAAGTGTACATGACTGAGCCTGGGAAAACTACAAGGGAGGTACCGGGAGGTGTTTGAGGCAAGGAATAGCCAGGAGAAGACGGTAACTGAACTGGGACATGGCAAAGTGGGTTGAAAAGGCGGGAAGTGATATGGATACGATAGACGGGCTAGGCAAAAAAATTTTGAGCCACCTTTGGCAAAGTAGGAAGGAACGATTGGCCATCGGTTATCGGTCCTGTGGGAACAATTCTCCGTCCTCTCGAGGATGCCTGGTCAATGGTCTAACCGCTGAGACATGCAAAACATAAGAGTACGCCCTCCCCCTCTCGTGCAGCTATGATGCTGCGCTGCTGCATGTGAGCCGGTCGGACTGGAACGGACGGCGTGTGTCGGGGTACCCGGTGTCTTTCGAGATCTCAGGCGTAGCCGAATCCTCCGCCAAGCCTTTCATCGACGCCGGCGACTTCGTTCTCCACGTTGAGGTCAGTTTTCCTGGCTGGAGGCGATGATATGGTTCGTATCTGTGTGGATATGACCAGCGCGCTGCATACATCACCACGTGGCGCTGTAGAGGCGTGTGGTTAGTTGAAGGCGGTCTATATACGCCTGGAGAATCGGGACGGGCGATGATTCAATGGGTTCATTTAGGAACGTGACCATGTCACGGAACACACCTTTCGGGACGCGATCGCGTCACGGAGCCTCTTCCCGCGGGAACCAATCAGAATGAGCGCCCCTTTTTTGCGGCCAGAAGCGTGGACTTACAATGTGTTCCCATATCTACCGGCCACACGCCCCAACCCCACCTTTCTGAACGCGTCTTCTTCGAACATTGCCCGCTCGTCCTTTTGCCCGCTCCGAACACAGGTAACGGGGGAGACGGTTTTCCGCATGGCGGGTACCCCGACGGATGCCACGTCGCCGGGCGGCTTGACTATGGTTTATTCCAGGGAAGCCGGCCGCGCGGAGTTCGAGCTAGACCTGTGCACGGACGTAGCAGGAGTCCGCTGCCCACTGCAGGCTGGAGACCGGTTCAGCGGCGTCGCCACCTGGAACGGTAATGCTAAGTCCACAATCTGGTGGCGTTTGGAGTAGGTACCGTAGGAGGCGGAGAGATGGCACCGACCCGATGGACCGACTTTCAAAGCTCGATTGTACCACAACCAAGAGTGATTGTGCCAACACCAGAAATGGTGGCTTGGGCAAACCTCTCGTCGAGGGCTTCCCGTAATCTGTCGGGTTCTTTCGGCACCCCCTTGGTTGTGGAGCAATCAAGCAATCGAGCTTTCAAACTGCGTCAAGGGGGGGTGCCAACTCTCCGACTCTTACGGAATACCACGGTACGGTATACGGTACGGTACAGACAATCTTGGTCGTGGAGCAATAGAGCAATTGAGCTTTAAAAGTCGGTCTAGGGGGGGTGCCATCTCTCTCTCTCTCTCTCTCTCTCTCTCCGCCTCTTACGGTATCCACTGCTGTTCTAGCCGCCGTTGCTGTCATCTCCAGATCAGCAACGGTTCTGGCCTCCCGGTACCATGGGGACTATTTTACATGCCGTGCGATCCGTGAGAGCCGCGACCTCCAACGACGGTGCGACTTTTCATTTTTTTTCCCCGTGTATATAACGGTATCGTGACCCCTCCCAATTTTTTCTTGTCTTTGCGTCTGCGGCCGCCAGCCTTCGTGTTGCCGGAGCGTGGCGATGAGAATGCGGTGGAGAGCTTGACGACCACGGTTATCACTGCCGTTCAGCCCGACGGCCCTGCATGCGGCCAGTTCTTCACCTTCCATGACGTCGCCGTGAGTCGTGTTTGTGCATGTGTTGCACGAGCGGCGCTGAGCACACAGCTTGATGTGTGTGTTTCGTTTCGGCAGGGCTAGCAGCTAAGCGTGCCCCACGTTTAGGTGCAGTGCCCTCCCCGCAGCAGCCCAGTTTAGTTTTATCCTGGGGCTTATTTATATCGGGGTGTCCGTCTGTCCCTGTTCAATTGGCGCACATAAGTAGGACGACAGGATTGTGCGTAGAGCATCACCTGTGCCGGCGCAGGAGGCGAAGGGGATTCGAATCACCGAGACAAGATAGATACCTTACTCTCGCGTTTGCTGTTGTGAACTCCCCCGCCGCCTGGCGCTTCCGTTTTTTTTTTTTTACGAAAACACAACGATTATGAGGTCATCTGTTTTTGCGTCAGTTCGTTTGGGCCGTGTGGACCTTGGTTCTCTTGCCTGTTTCCCCAGCCTGTGACCTTCTCTCCATGTTCTTTACGTGCTCTTTTCGTTTTCCTGTGAAACGTAGAAACTTGATTTAAGAGACCTGCCAAAGAGATGCCATGGATGTCTCGTCAAAACCCGCCTGAGCCTCGCACCCCCTCTCGGCTCATTGCCAGTTTTCGCCTCCATTTCCGCACCGTGTATATATTTACCCACGTACGAATAGCAAGCAATACGACTCTGGCTGATCACACAGTTTCGTGGCTCCTCACAATGGAACGCAATGAACGGCGAAACTTGACCATCCTCACACCTCACGCAACTGCCCCGCCCCCCGCGCGTCCACCGCTGGCTTTGGTGTTGAAAAAAGCAGTTTTAGCTCGCTCTGCGCACGAGGGCTAGCGTGGCGTGGCGTGTTGAAAGGCCTGGGCGTGCTCCATTGTGCTTCTCTTTTTATTTCCTGGGTGATGATGTCACTGACGTTTTGATCAGTACGATTCTTGATTTGCTTGAACCCGATTGCTCTCTCTTTTTTTGTTGGTACTCTTATTCCACGATCAGGGGAAGGAAGACGCATCCGCTACCCTGCTAGAAGACCACTTGTCCGAGCTGGTCGAAAGCGATGAATCGTCCAGGGGCCCCGCCGCATCATCGTGGTCGAGGGGGTACTCGTCTCGGTTCGAGGGCTTCTCCTGGAAAGACGCCAGGTAGGTAATCTGTGTCGCCCGGTTGTTGTTGTTTTTATGGTCGATTTTGGCGCAACCAATGGCCCGCCGAATGTCTCACAGCGGCCAGAGATGCATGAAATTTCTCGTAAATTTCCGCCACTGGCGGAGGCGTTATTGTTAGCTACGCAGTGATTGGCTGGAAACAAGAGGGGCGGGTGGTGTGGTGCTCGTAGGTGGTGCGGCATTAGACCTCAAACTATCCGTGTCAAACGGTAGATACACAACGGTGGGGCGTTCAATGGCCTTGCAATAGACAGGAGACAGTCGTACTGGAGCGCTCATGTTTGGGTTGTGTACGGCAATGTTTTGGTGAATATCGGCGTAGGCTGAAGAGGAATAACGAAAGAGGATCATAGAAAGCACAAACATGTGCGCGCATGCAGAGTCCCAACAAATGTCAATGGAAACAAGTTAAGACAAGGCGGCTAGTTAACGCGACCCCTGAGGTTGCCCCCTTCTCCCCGAATACCCTATGCGCTTCGCGCTTGGTGATGCGAGAACCTGGTCCGGTGGGAACCCGGCGTGCTCCGTCCCGGCTTTGTAGGGATGCGAGGTCAATGGTCTAGCTACTACGTCATGCATGGCTATGAGTACACCCCCGCCCCCCCTTACCACGTATTGATTTGGCGTCACACCGCAACCCCAACCTTCCCCAGTCTTGACTCGGTTCCCTTCCGTGGATATTTTCAATTTTGACTCTTTCCCCGCCACATTTTTGTTCGCAATTCCTTATTTTCCCCGTTTTTTTTTTGTCTCGGGCGCGGTTTCTTCGGAGCAGGCGGATTGCTGGAGGCACGGTGATGCGAGGCCAGGTTGGCTTCGAGGAGCTGCCACGGAGGTGAGTTTTCTTTACTCTTGAAGCAATTTCAGGAACGGGGAGGGTCACGTCTCTTGGAAGCATGAACCTTAGCCCTTTGAAGATTCAGGCACTGCTGTGAAAGTTAACGTTTACTCCTCGAAGAGGATCGCATCCTTTGGAAGATAGCAGCATTTTTTGTCTTGCAATCGAGAGAGCACTGCAGGCTTCTTGACCGGAATGTGAAAGGCACCTCTCCGAGAGAATCGCATCCTACTCCTATGAAAATGGCAGCATGTTTTTGCCCTGCAATCGAGAGAGAACTGCACGCGTCTTGAACCGGTTTCCAACGGACTGGTTTGTGTGAAACTTGCAGAGGGATGGAGCTATCTTTCCCACAATGATGTATTCTGTGCACAGTTATAGTCCTGAATCAACAGCAACGATGATCTTCGCAATGACACCCTGATGGTTCCGCTCTTGTGGATGCTGCTTATTGTGCTCACTCGCGTAGAATGGTCGTCAACGGGTGGAGGCTTTCTAGGACGTTTATTTTCTCGAGCGCAAAAAGACCAAGACTTGCTTTTCTCGCTCGCGAAGAAAGAGACGCTTTCTTTTCTCACGAGCAAAAAAACTTTCGTTGTTTCTGTTCTTTCACCTCTAGGCACAACTTGCAAGCCGTGACCACCGACGTTCCTCGGATCGTGTAACACTTGACAGCAGAGACTTCAGGTCGTGTTTCATGACAGGCTTGATGGCACTGTAGTCAAGACAACAGCAACACCTACCTAATATTACACTCGAAGAATAACGAACGATCTCCTCCCCGCCCCGATGTGCGCAAGCGATATCGAAGTATCCCGCCTCGTCATTCCCGATAAAGTAGATACCCCCCCTCCCTCCTGTATATTCCACCGTACACGGCATGCGTTTACATGAGCACCCACCCCCTCCGACATTTTTGTCCCCCGCCCCATGGGAAGTGGGTTGAAAAGGAAGGCAGTGATATCGACAGGATAGAGCGACTAGGGAAGACATTTTTGAGCCACCTTTGGCAAAGTAGGAAGGAACGATTGGCCATTCTGTAGAAAAAATGCTCCGTCCTCTCGAGGACGCGTGGTCAATGGTCTAACGACTACGGCATGCACGACTATGAGTACCCCCCCCGCTCCCCCCCCTTCCGCGAAAGCAGGAGGTACACCAAGGAGATCGCACCTGCCGTGCCCGGCCGGCGCCGCCTTACGCCCGTGGCGCAATCTAGCAGCGACGAGGACATCCCCGCGAACTTCGACGCTCGCGAAGCTTTCCCGGAGTGCGCCTCGATCATCGGCCGCGTGAGGGATCAGAGCGACTGCGGCAGCTGCTGGGCCTTCGCTTCCACTGAGGTACCATGGGTCTGAGACAGGGTCCGCGGTTACCGTAGTTGACATGACGCAAGGTACCACACCCCCTTGACCGATTCTCGAAGCTCGATTACTCCGCAGCTGAAAGAGTATGAGTGGCGGGGCGGGAGGGGGAAGATCAGCAGGTTACGTAAGATACCACCCCCCCCTTGATAGATTTTCACTGCTCGATTTTCACACAACAGAAAGAGCGGCGGCGGGGGGTGGGGGATGAGCGGGGCGTGTTGTACTATAGGTTTGCGTAAGGTACCACACCCCCTGGACCGATTCTCGAAGCTCGATTACTCCGCAGCTGAAAGAGTATGAGTGGCGGGGCGGGAGGGGGAAGATCAGCAGGGCGGGTTGTTCCGTAGGTTACGTAAGATACCACCCCCCCCCTTGATAGATTTTCAAAGCTCGATTTTCCCACAGCAGAAAGAGCGGCGGCGGGGGGGGGGGGGGAATAGACCGGGGGTGTTGTACTAAAGGTTGCGT